TTTTTGTAGAGTCGAGGTCTTACTATGTTGCCCAGGCTGGTCTTGAACTCCTGGGCTCAAGCAGTCCTCACGCTTTGACCTCCCAAAGTGCTAGAATTATAGACATGAGCCACCACGCCCAGCCAGTGGCTATTACTAAAAAGACAAAAAGGATGCAGAGAAAAGGGAACACTGAGGGAATGAAAATTCATACAACTACTATGGCAAACAGTATGGAGATTTCTCCAAAAACTAAAAATAGAAATATCATATGATCCAACAATCCCATGACTAACCATCCCAAAGGAAAATAAGTCATAGCTGGATGTGGTGGTGTGCACCTGTACTCCCAATTACTTAGGAAGCTGAGATAGGAGGATTTGTTGAGCCTAGGAGTTGAAGGCTGCAATAAATTGTGATTGCACCACTGTGCTCCAGAGAGAAGCAGGGTTAGAGGGCTGGGACCTTCCGTGCCACCACCAGCCTCCAGGGAGGAGAGGGAAGGGAATAAAGTTACACTGATCACCAGTGGCCAGTGGTTTAATCAGTCATGCCTACGTAATGAAGCCGCTACAAAAAAACCTAGAAGGACAGGGTTCTGATCACTAACCATGCAGAGATTCCTGAAGGGTGCTGTGCCCAAGGAGCGCATGGGAGCTTCCTGCCCCTTGCCATGCCGTGCCCTGTGTGTCTCATCATCTATGTCTTTGTAATATCCTTTATAATAAACCAGAGGTTGTATCAGTTGATCTAGCAAATTAATTGAACCTAAGGGGGCAAGGGAAATCTCTGACTGATAACTGGTCGATCAGACGCACAGGTAGACCCACCTGGGGCTTGCAATTGGCATTGAAAGTGAGGGCAGCCGTGCGGAACTGAGCACTCACCCTGTGGGATCTGATAGTGTACCTAGATAGGGTCAGAATTGAATTGGGAGGCACCTAGCTCGGGTCCACTGCAGAACTGATAGTTTACTTGTTAGTGGTTAGACATCACCACCCATTTGGTCACAGATGTCTTCTCTGTTGATTGTTGTGGTGTGAGAGCCGAGAAAACAGTTTGTGTATTTTTTCACTCTCAGAAGTACAGCCTCATTATTGGGTGATTATAATGTGCAGCCAAGGAAGGGAACCACTGCTGTACAATGTCCTACACAGTGCTACAGTGTGGTGTTATTCCATGCTGGACATTCTTGTTATGAAAGGAGATGAACGAGTTTAGTTCTAACATATTTCCTTATTTCGTATTATCAAGCACTGGCCAGTTATCTTAGTCTCTTACAAAGTGTTTTTCCAGGCAGCTTGTATTGCCTACTGGGATTGGGGAAATCCTAGGTTTGTGTGGAATTTTCCATGACTCTTAGCTCTGCACCATTAGTGTTGACTGCAGCTGCAGAGCTTTCCAGTGTGTCTGCCTCTGCTCTTCTCCCCTTTCTCTTTTTATAATGTCAGATGGATGTTAAACCTCACCTACAAGTCTTGGTATTGTGTTTGTGTTTAATACCCTGGTTCTAAGGACAGATCAGAAAATCGCATCTGAATTAACCTTTTGTTTATAAAGTGAGTCAGCGTGAGCACTCACCCTCTGGGATCTGATAGTGTACCTTTCCTCAGGTGTCATGTTTCCTGTCACAAAACCACCTTTTGTTTCTGGAGGCTCAAGCCTCTGACGAGGTGCTGGCTCATTCTTCAGCAATTTCTTCATTGGTGATCAGAATCAGCCTTTTGATCCTGTGATTGGAAGAGTTCTAAAAATGACAGCAGATAAAAGAAAACAGATTCAACCAGATAATGGCTTAGTTGTGTTTGGCAGAGTCTCACTCTGTCACCTAGATTGGAGTGCAGTGGCCGCTTCCAGCCACCGCAGCCTCGACCTGCTGGGCTCTGGCGATCCTTCCACCTCAGCCTTCCAAGTAGCCGGAATTACAGGCGCGTGCTACCACGCCCGGCTAATTTTTTTTTGATTTTATTGTAGAGATGAGGTCTCACCTGCCCAGGTGGGTCTCGAACCCGTGGGCTCAGGCAATCCACTCACCTCAGCCTCCCAAAGGCGTGGGATTACAGGCTGAGCCACCGAGCCTGGCTGGCTGGTCCCCTCTTATAGGGGAATTTTAAAGTCCTGAAAGTTTAGAAGGAGACTATAATAGGGATATATCTCCTTTTCTTTGGAGATTCTCTAGATCTCATGCAGAGGGGACTGCAGTAAGTTACAAAATTTCGTTCTCTCAGAGCAGTAGTTGAAGGTTGGGCTTGTTTGTTTACCATAACCTCCCCCTCCATGAGAGGCGTTCTAATCAAACCATACAGAGTTGACCCTTGAACAATGCAGGGGTTGGGGTGCTGGCCTCCTGCGCAGTCAAAAATCCATGTTTAACTTTTGACTCTCCAAACACTTAACTGCTGATAGCTTACTATTGACCAGAAACCTGATAATTTAGTCTATTAACACATATTTTGTCAGTTATACGTATTATATCCTGTGTCCTTAAAATAAAATAAAGGGAGCTAGAGAAAGGAAAGTGTTAAGCAAATCATAAGAAAGCCTGCAATCCCAGCACTTTGGGAGACCAAAGCAGAAGGATTCCCTGAGACCAGGAGTTCATGACCAATCTGGACAAGGTAGTGAGACCCCATCTCTACAAAAAAATTAAAAGCAAGAAAATCATACAGAAGAGAAAATACATGTACTACTCATTAGGTGGAAGTGAATTGTTATAAAGGTCTTCATCCTGTGGTCTTTATGTTGAGTAGGTTGAGGAGAGTTGTTCTGACTGTCTTGAGTGACAGAGGTGGAGGAGGAGGAGGAAAGGGTGGCAGGAGAGGCAGGTGTATAAGTGGACCCAGGCACATAGCGAACCTGCACAGTTCAAACCCATGTTGTTCAAGGGTCAGCTGCATTTTGAATAGGAACTAAAGGCAGTGTGTATATCTACTCCATTCTGGTCTCTGCTTTAGTGTTACTTCCTTCCCTGATCACCCTACCAAAGTGTAGTATTTCCCCAGAATAGGGAGTAAAGTATTCTCTATTCCTTCTCCCTACTTTCTTTCCTTCATAACACCTATTACCTGACATTATGTAAGTTCTATGAGGATAGTGACATTTCATTTTCTCTGTTGTATTCCTGGGGCCTGGAACCTAGTTGGGTGTTCATTAAATTTTTTTTTTTTTATTTTGAGTTGGAGGCTTACTCTGTCGCCCAGACTGGAGTGCAGTGGCAGGCTCACGGCCACCACCGCCTCTACCTGCTGGGCTCAGGTGATCCTTCCACTTAAGCCTTCCGAGTAGTTGGAACTACAAGTGCATACCACCATGCCCAGTTAATTTTTTGTTTTTTTATTGTCAAGACGAGTTCTGGCCAAGTTGCAAGAGGTCTTTGCCAAGTTGTTGGTCTCGAACCTCTGGGCTCAGGCAGTCCTCTCCTCAGCCTCCCACAGTGCTGGGATTATAGGTGTGAGCCACAGTGCCCAGCTTTTTAAAAAATAAACATAGTGATTGATCCTTCTGGTCTTAAAACTTGAAACTTACATTTGTCTTATTTGGGTTCCTTTCTCAGGAACTGACCCTCAGCTCTACAGTATCAAGGAACTGAAACTCAACAGATTACTGCATTCAGGCGCAAGGGGATGGCAGAGGAGGTGTAAACAACCTCCTCTCTTAATTCTCCCCAACTCCTCCTTACCACTTTCTCTTCCTTATCCCTCCCTAATTCCTGTTTTCTCTGTTCCTGCTGAACTATATAAGCCCCTGACTTCAGAGAGATGAGAAAACATGTTCTCCTTGGCCGATATCACTGGAATGAAAGGCTTTCTTCCCTGCTAGTACTGGTTGTCTGAGTGGTTGACTTTCTTGCCTTGGTTCTGCAATCAACAGGACCCCAACCAAACCCCTATGAACTAACAATTTAAATAGCCGGACATTTGCATACCATTTTTCTTTTTGGTTTTGCCTTTAGTCTTTGCTCAGTGATTCTCAAACTTTATTGGGCATGTTAATTAGTATATCAGGTATAAAACCATTTATTTAGAACTTTGTGGGCATTATAAGAAATTTTCAGCTGGGTGTGGTAGCTTAAGTCTGGAGTTCCAGCACTTTGGGAGGCTGAGGTAGGAGGATTGTTTGAGTCAGAAGTTCAAGACCAGCCTGGGCAACATAGTGAGATCCTGTCTCTACAGAAATTAAAAATATTAGCTGGGCATGGTGGCATATACCTGTAGCTCCAGCTTCTCAGGAGGCTGAGCTCAGGAGGTCGAGGCTGTGGTGAGCTGTGATTATGCCACTGCACTTCAGTGCAGGTGACAGAGTGAGACCCCCAATTCAAAAAGTAAATACAATTTAAAAAATAACTTTGTGCTATTTTTTACTTTTCACTTTGAGGTAAGATGTAACACCATTGTACTTTTTCCATAATTTGTAAAAAGAGGAATACCTTGCTATTTAGATTGTGAAGCTGGAGAAGTTTAATGCCCATTTGGCTCAGTTCCACTGGATCCCACGTGATTTGTCACCTATTTTGGTGGTGATGGCAATTAGAGAAGGGGAGTTTAAGTGTTATAGTCTGATTGGAAGATAACATGCTGAAATTGAACTTTCCTGTACCAGTCAAAATGAGTGTGTCATATGGGTTGTGGGGCTTAATGTTTGGAGAAAGGATAACATAAGGCCTGTCTTTCCTCAGCCTGGGAGTGGTGATGATAAATTGAGATGAGTGAAAACACCTTGAGGTAAAGATGTCGCGAACCCAGGAAGTCTTGGATACTCGGAAAGGTCATTGGGCAATGAGAGCAAAGGCAGACGTTCTGTGATGGAAGCCTCACTCCTTTATGGATTATCTCAATGAAGGCAGGACGTGTCCTGGGAAACGCTGGGTGTCAGATATGCCTTTAGCACAGTGGGCATGGGAGGTTTGATCCCGATGCACTAGATGTAAGTTTTACTGCTGCACTTTTCCCGTCCTAAGTGAAAAGGACTACGTTCTAACATGATTTCACCACTCTGTTGTTCCTCTTCCCTCCTCCTTTTAGTTGGCTGATTGCAATTCTGGCCCAGCTCAACCCTCTCTTTGGACCACAGCTGAAAAATGAAACCATCTGGTATCTGAAGTACCACTGGCCTTGAGGAAGAAGACATGCTCTATGGTGCTCAGTCTTGGAGGTGACTAAACTTTTGACCTTTCACATCAGCATTATCAGTCTGTGAGAGTTTGACTTGACTTTTTCTCAGAATTTTATGTCCATTTTAATCTCTGACAAGGACAGGCTGCTGACAACAAACACGGTCAAGAGCAGAAATAAGCTTGGAACTTAGGCCATTCACCCTACCTGAAGCTTAGGAGTTTACTCATAAGATAATTTATTTTTTTAAATTAGAAAATACAGTTTATTTAAAAGTAATGAGAGAGAAGTTTTACCTCCTCAAAGTGGGGGAGGAGGCCAAAGCCAGGAACATCTAAACGCACCCCATAACTTAAAGAGCACATGGCCACACCAGAGTCTAGCAAGGCAATGGCCTCTTTTTAAATTCTATTACCCAGACTGGGTGCTGTGGCTCACGCTATAATCCTAGCACTTTGGGAGGCTGAGGTGAGAGAATTGCCTGAGTTCACGGGTTCGAGACCAGCCTGGGCAACTTGGCAAGACCTCATCTCTGCAACAAATCAAAAAATTGGTCGAGTGTGGTGGCATGTGCCTATAGTTCCAGCTACTTGAAAGACTGAGGGGGAAGGATCACCTGAGCCCAGCAGGTCGAGGCTGCGGTGCCACTGTATTCCAGCATGGGCAACAGAGTGAGACTCTGACCAAAAACAAAAAAATTCTATTACTCTGCCTTTTAAAGTAAATACAGTTTGGGCCAGGTGTAGCTCACGTTTTTAATCCCAGCATTTTGGGAGGCTGGGGCGAGAGGATTACTTGAGCCCAGGAGTTTGATACCAGCAGGCAACATAGCAAGACCTCATCTCTACAAAAAAATTTTTAAAAAATTAGTCGGGCATGGTGGCACATGCCTGTTGTAGTCCCAGCTACTTGGAAGGATCACATGAGCTCCGGAGGTCAAGGCTGTGGTGAGCTGTGATCATACTACTGCACTCTAACCTGGGTGATAGAGTGAGACCTCCCCCCAACTCAAAAACAGATAAATAAATAGTTTGATTTATAGAATTATGCTTGCATCACTCTTTCAGGCATAGATCAGAAAGGTGACTGCTTACACTTGGCATTGTGAGTTCCAGCAACTATAAGGGGTAGCTTGTAGGTTTAAAATTAAGGTTTCTTTCCAACAGTGGTCAGCTGTCTGAACAGAACCCTTCCGAGACAGTGTTACACTGCTAGGAGAGCAGCATCTTGTCTTCTTCATCTGGTTGCTTCCTACACTGTTCTGGTGGCATCTGGCACTGGTGCAGGGCAGAACTCTCCTTCCTTGAGAGTGTGCTAAGCATTCACTTCAGCTGCTTAGTTCTGTCTGGGAGCAGACACAAAAAAAATTAAGAGGGTTTCTGAATGCACTGGGTGAAGAGAGAGACAAGGGCCTTTTGAAAATTGGCAGCTGGGCAACCTCCTCGGATCCCCTCCCACTGTGGGATCTTTTCTGTTCTCTTAATAAATCCTGCTTTCAAAAAGAAAGAAAGAAAGAAAATTGGCAGCTTTCAGCCATGTGTGATGGCTCACGCCTATAATCCCGGCTGAGTTGAGAGGGTTGCCTAAGCCCAGGGGTTCGAGACCAGCCTGGGCAACTTGGCAAGACCACATCTCTACAAAAAACAAAAAACAAACAAAAAAAAACTAGCTGGGCGTGGTAGTGTGTCTCTGTAGTTCCGCCTACTTGGAAGGCTGAGGCGGAAAGGTCGCCTGAGCCAAGTGGGTCGAGGCTTTGGTAGTCGTGAGTGTGGCACTGCCCTCCAGCCTGGGTGACAGTGGGACTCTGACTCAAAGAAAAGAAAATTGGTAGCTTTCATTTGGTCCCGAGCATTTGAAGTAAGTAATGATGTTATGGAAAGATATAGGCACTGGCTGAAAGTCAGGAAATCTGTCATTTCATCTGTTCTTCTGTCTCCATTATTTTGTTAAATGGAAGTTAATGCTCAATGCTGGACTTGATGTAGTTTTGGCTTTTGATGGGAGTGCATTTTAGGTGATACTGTAAACTGCATATTGCCCCCATCAGGAGACACATGTCTGGTTCTACTATTTTTAGTGATGCTAACATGTGTTCTCTGAGTTCAGATAATGACAACTTGCTTCCTCTAGTTGTAAAGTTTTCTGTCAGCCTTTTGTCCAGTGATTTTTATCCCTTGGTGATCATAGCCTGAATTAATCATTTCAGTAGAAATTGCAAAGTGATGATTTTCTAATTCTGTCGTTACTTCCACACTTGATTAGCCGAAATGCTTCTATAATATAAAGATAAACTTTCAGCCGGGCTCGGTGGCTCAGCCTATAATCCCGCGCCTTGGGAAGCTGAGGTGAGTGGATTGCCTGAGCCTGCGGGGTTCGAGACCCGCCTGGGCAACTTGGTGTGAGACCTCATCTCTACAATAAATCAAAAAATTAGCCGGGCGTGGTAGTGCTTGCCGTAATTCCAGCTACTTGGAAGGCTGAGGCAGAAGGATCGCTGGAGCCCCAGCAGGTCGAGGCTGCAGTGGCCGGGAGCAGCCACTGCACTCCAGTCTGGGCGACAGAGTGAGACTCCAACTCAAAAAAAAAGATAAACTTTCTCTTATCAATGAAGATTATTTAGTAACTATGAAATGCAGGAAAAACAAAATGCATATTTAAATCTTGTTTTTAAAACTTTCATAGTATATGTTAGTGTCCAAGTTCCTTTCAGGGTATTCTATGAAGTTTTCTTGTCTTTTTAATTTTAAGTGATTTCTTTCTTTTCTTTTTTTTTTTGAGTTTCACTCTGTCGCCCAGGCTGGAGTGCAGTGCCATGCTTACGGCCACCACAGCCTTGATATGCTGGGCTCAGACAATCCTTCCGAATTTCATTTATTATTATCATTACATTCAATTATTATTTTCTTGAGCCTGTTTAGGCTGGCTTCTATGTCCTTTTGATGTTAGTTTTGGTAGTTTCCTTACTTTCTGGCAACATCTAGATGACCTAGGCTCCTCTTGTATATTTTCTGTTCCAGATTTGGATTCAGCTGTTTCTCCAGTTGCTTTCTAAATTTCCCACTAAAAGGATCTCTGGTTTACTAGTCAGTCCTCAAGCCCAGTTGACCCTGGTTCCTTTCAGTGGGAATGGTAAAGCCAGCATATGACTGCTAGGTTCATTCATGGCTGCCAGGGTATTGTTGCCTCCAAGGCTTTGCAGTGGAGAGAGCCAGGAAGTATGTATTTTTCATTTTCTTTTTTTTTTTGAGTTGGAGTCTCACTCTTGCCCAGACTGGATGGAGTGGCCGCTCCCGGCCGCCACAACCTCGACCTGCTGGGCTCCGGCGATCCTTCCACCTCAGCCTTCCAAGTAGCCGGAATTACAGGCATGTGCTACCACGCCTGGCTGATTTTTTGATTTATTGTAGAGATGAGGTCTCGCTGCCCAGGCGGGTCTCGAACCCGCGGGCTCAGGCAGACAATCCACTCACCTCAGCCTCCCAAAGGCACGGGATTACAGGCTGAGCCACTGAGCCCGGCTGGAAGTATGTATTTTTAAAAAGAAAAAAAAATAATGAGTTCACATCAGTATTTCCTTTTTTCTTCTTCTTTGAGTCAGAGTCTCACTGTCACCCAGGCTGGAGTGCAGTAGCATGATCTTGGCCACCGCAGCCTCCACCTGCTGGGCTTAGGCAATTCTTCTACCTCATCCTTCCAGGTAGCTGGAACTACAGGCATGCGCTACCGCACCTGGCTACTTTTTTGATTTATTGTAGAGACAAGGTCTTACCATGTTGCCCAGGTGGGTCTCGAACCTGTGGGTTCAGGCAATCCTCTCGCCTCTGCCTCCTGAAATCTCTCTGTGCTGAGATTACAGGTGTGAGCCACTGTACCCGGCTTCACATCAATATTTCTAACTTACATTAAACACTACAGGATTTTTATATAACTTCTTTATTTTTATACTTGAATACCATTCACCTGTGCTAAAAATCTTAGTTCTTAATAATAATAACTTTTATTATTCTGCAATACATAAAAAGTATTTTCAAAATAACACCAATGTAACTAATAGCTAAAAGTTTATTTATTTATTTTCAAGTCAGGGTCTCATTCTGTCACCTGGGCTGGTGTGTAGTGGCACAGTCATGGTTCAACTGCAGCCTCGACTTCCTGGGCTCAAGCAGTAACCTGCCCCCCTCTGCCCCCCGCATCCCAAGTAGCTGGGACTTTGGGCATGTGACACCTTGCCCAGGTAATTTTCATATTTTTTGTAGAAACAAGGTCTCAATATATTGCCCAGGCTCTAGAAGTTTATTGATTTCTTTGCTGCTGTATTTGTCCTTAGAACAAATAAAGAACAGAATGCTGTTTTCTGAGGCCACTTAAAATAATTATTTCCCCTGATGGTTTTGTCACTCATTTGCCATACAGTTAAATTGAGATGTTTGTGTTAATCTATAATATTTTTTCTTTTTGATTTGCTACTATTTTGTGACTATATAAAACATATTTTCAAAGTCAAAATGAAAAACAGCACTCACTATAGAATATAGAGCGATGATATATTCTGAGAACTCTATCCTTTTAGTGTTTCACTTTGCAAAGATTAAGCAAGCCGGGCTCTTTGGCTCAGCCTGTAATCCCGTGCCTTTGGGAGGCTGAGGTGAGTGGATTGCCTGAGCCCGCGGGTTCGAGACCCGCCTGGGCAACTTGGCGAGACCTCATCTCCACAATAAATCAAAAAAAATTAGCCGAGCGTGGTAGTGCATGCCTGTAGTTCCAGCTACTTGGAAGACTGAGGCGGAGGGATCGCCAGATCCCAGCAGGTCGAGGCTGCAGTGGCCAGGAGCGGCCACTGCACTCCAGTCTGGGCGACAGTGAGACTCCAACTCAAAAAAAAAAAGATTAAGCAAATTCATACATTCATTCATACACACCCACACACATATACTACATACACACTGCTGTTACGGAAAAGACATCACTATATACATTATTTTGTACCTTGTTTTATTCACTAAGCAGTACAGCTAGAGATCGCTGCATATTAGTATATAG